AAAAAAATTAATTTCTTTAAATACTAACTCAAAACCTGAACCATCCCTGACCAATGACTTGATAACTCAAAAATTTAACTGTTGAAATTAAATTTAATTATTAACTATTGCCTTGCTTTTATTTTAGTTTAAAAGTTTTATTCTCTCTAACAAATGAAGCTTCAAAGGTGATATCAAAATAGTTTATTCATCAAAGTTTTGTTAGCAAGACTCCACGTCAACGCATATACGTTACCACATAAATGCCATGTGACACAAAAAATTGCATACAATGATAAGAAGTGGTGAGCAAAAGATTAAAAGAGACTATAAATTGTATAGAATGAGAAGTTAAAAAACAAGGCAGTTGAGATTAAATATGAATTAAAATGTACTTTATTTGATTTTTTTAATTGTTTTAATCTCTCAATTTTATGTAAATTAATTTGATGATCTTCTATAGTGAATAAATAATAATTGAATTTTTTTTGTTGTAAGTGAAAATATTTAATAAGAACTACCTATAAAAAGAAAAAGATTTTCAATTATCATTTAATTACTTTATAAAATCATCTAGTAAAATCTTAAGCAAAAACCAAATTAAAACAAACTAAATTAGACTAAATAGAGTAATTTTTTTGGGGTCATGTGGTGTTTTCCTGGTGTGATATGGTAAACGGCAAGAAATTTATTTTAAAAAACTAAAGAAATATATTATTTTTATATACTTTCCCAAATTTCTAACTCAATTTAGGAGAATTTAAAAAAAATTAAAATGATAACAAAATAACAGTTAATAAACCAAACGTTGAAGATTCTATTTGGTTTGTTATTAGGAACTGCTAATAACTATAATTGTTAGTTGATAACTGATAGAATAGTTAATATTTAATACTTAACAATTTGAAATCAACATATAAGTAAATATTTTCAAACACACTAATCAACTATTTAAGAAAAAAAAGTTACAAACAAATAAAATTAGTCAAACCAAATACTCTTGAAGTTACTTGGTGGAGAAGATTGGAACTAGGGCTCAGGAGTTGGGTGTAATAAAGTCGAATACAATAGAAGTATCTTGCAAAATTTACTAAATGGTGTACTCCCCATATCCAAAATGGAAATAAAAATAGTCTAATTTAGATGTGGAATGGATTGATATTTATTTCTTTTTTCTTCAACGTACCACAAGTGTGATCAATCATGTGCCCTTTTATTCTTTTATTCTTTTAGTATTTTCAATTAAGGTGTTCTTGGGGTCGATTTTTGCACACTTTAAGATTAAAATGATGTTAAAGGCACAACCCCATATTGACTTTGTATATTTAAAAAATTTTAATTTTTTTGGATATGGATCTCATAATCCTAAATCTATTTTACAATTGGATACTTGTTTATTAATAGATTTAACCCTTGGGTTAATCATGTGCCCTTTTGCCTCAATTAGGTAGTAAAATATAATGTATTTAATTGTTGTGTACCCAAAGTTGGTGTTCCTTTTTATACCTTTTGCCAAAGATAAAGTAAGTGAAAAAGGTGTTATATAAAAACAAGGCAAAAGCGTACCTTGAGCCCTTTATTTTGAGCCCTTTATTTTATTAAATTTGTAAGTTTTAATCTCTCACCTTATATGATAATAATTTTAACCCTTCGCATATTAAAATTAAAAAAAATAACCCTCACTTATAACATTTTATTAATTTTGTTAATTGATTGTTAATTTTATTGGTTGATTATTTACTGATTGTTAGCTAACAAAAACCTATTTTCAACTAATAAAATTAATAGTTAGTTAACAAAATTATTGTGTTAACTAATTGTGAACATTATTAACTGACTATTAACTGACTATTAATTGGCAAAAACTTACTTTCAGCCAACAAAATTAATAGTTAGCTAACATAGTTAATGGTCAATTAACAGAATTTATGAATTGTTTTAAAGTGAGGGTTATTTTTTTCAAATCTAATATGTAAGGAGCTAAAAAGTCATAGTATAAGTTGAAGGACTAAAACTTATAAATTTAATCAAGTAAAGGACTAAAAATAGTTTTATGCTTAAAAATAACTTCTTTCCAAGTTAGTCGGTTCAAATTAAATAAACTCGTTGATTTTAAATAAAATCTCAATTTTGAATTTCATAAATAGAGATATAAATATTAGAAGAGTTTTTCTTATAAGGTATGATCCAATTTAACTCTAAATTAGTTGAATTTTAACATAACTTTTAGATATAATGGTTTAGTACAAAAAAAATAAAGACAACTTTTGAGCAAAGTGCAGTCAAGGATATCATTTTTTATTAGATGCAATTAAGGATTCCAACGGCAAGATTAGCACAACCAAGGACACGACAAACCTCATAGTCAGACCATGCAACCCACAACTTGAGTGAGCTGAGGAGGAATTTGGAAAAGAATAATGATGATTAGAATTAATTTTTAAGATGAACCTGTATAATCCAAGTTGAAATAATTTTGTTTTAAAATTTGGTATTAAATTTTAAGTCTAGGAATCACTACTCTTTAGAAAAAGGATAAAATTAACCACTTTTGAATAAATTATCACACTTATTATTATCGAACATGAATATTATAATTATAATATTATATAAAATTATAAATTACAATTATAATGTGGTATTAATCAACAACTTATTAATTCAAGTAGAAAAAATTTAGTTTCTCTTAAAGAAAAATTTCAAGTTCAAGTTTTATAAATAAAAAAACATGTGTTAAGAGATTTTTCCCTTATAAACTCTAACAAGAGATTTTTCCCTTATAAATTCTAACACAACTTAATTTTTAATTAGTTGAAATTTTATGTGATTTTTAAATAGTAGGAGTTAATACAAAAAGAAACATAATGTGATATTAAATAATATAAATATATAATATTATGAGTAAATTTTTAAATAAAAAAATTAATTATATAATAATATATTATATTATAAATTTACAATTTCATGTACCATAGTAATTATAGCATTTTTTATCATCAAATGATAAAATATATATATATTTTTAAACAAATTCATAAAATACCAAATTTGAATTGTTGCTTAAAGGAGAGAAAATATATCTATATGTGAACTGACGCCACTATCAAACACCGAAGTGCATCAAATGATAAAATAATTAAATAAATAAAATTGAGGGCGGAAAATGAATTTGGAGCTAACCCCTAAACAGTTGACGACTTCCGTTTTCTCTCTGATTAACGTTCGTTTCAACGGTTAGTACAGTACTGGCCATCCATACTGGGTCCCCGGCAGCTTAGCGATGAAAATTTCGGCATGAAGAGGAAACGCCGCGTTTTCTGCTTATTTACTTAGCCGCCTCAAATAGACAATGAGATCAATTTTCGCGGGAAAATGGAAGGATGGTCAATTGAAGAACTTGAAGAAATTATACTCAACTTATCAAACTCCAAAAACCCATCAAGCAGGAACAGTCTCTACTAATATTTCTATCCATGGGTATGTTAAAAATAGGCGTTTGGATCTTGCTCGGAAACTGTTCGAGGAAATGCCTGAGAGAACTGTTGTTTCATGGAACACCATGATTTCTGGTTATTCGAAGTGGGGTTTCTTCGATGATGCTCTGAGCCTGCTTCCATTGATGCATCACAGTAATGTGAAGCTTAATGAGACCACGTTTTTGACTGGGTTAAGTGCATGCGCACATTTGCAGTTGCTAACTCATGGGAAGCAGATTCATTGTATTCTTTTAAAATCTGGTTGCGAGAATTTTGAGCTTGTGGGAAGTGCTTTGTTGTATTTTTACGGGAGTTGCTTGGAGATTAAAGAAGCTGAACAGGTGTTTGACGAGTTTTGTGATAGGAACGAGTTATTGTGGAGTTTGATGCTTGTGGGTTATGTCCAATGTAATCTACTAGGTGATGCTATGAATCTGTTTATGAAGATGCCAAAATGGGATGTTGTATCCTGGTCTAAGCTGATTTCTGGGTTTGCAAAGAGTGAAGAGAGCTGTGAGAAGGCTTTAGAGTTGTTTTGGTGGATGAGGAGCAGTGAGTTGGTGCCCAATGAATTCACTTTTGATTCTGTTTTAAGAGCTTGTGGTAGGCTTAGTTTTTTGCATGAAGGGAGGCTTGTTCATGGGATTTTGATTAAATATGGGTTTGAATTTGATCAATCTATTGTTTGTGCGCTAATTGAATTCTATTGCAATTGTGAAGCTATAGGTGATGCTAAGAGAGTCTACAATGGAATACCAAATCCTGATTTAAATGCTTCAAACTCGCTTATGGGAGGGCTTATTTCAATGGATAGGATTGGAGATGCAGAGCTGGTTTTCAATAGACTGACTGAAATGAACTCAATCTCATATAACTTGATGATTAAGGGGTATGCAATCAGTGGGCAAGTTGAAGATTCAAAAAGATTATTTGAGGAGATGCCTGAAAGAACAATAATTTCTTTTAATTTAATGATTTCTGTATATTCCAGAAGTCGTGAAATAGATAAAGCTTTGAATCTTTTTGAAGAAATTCAAAGTGAAAGAAACCCTGTGACATGGAATTCAATGATATCTGGTTATATTGAAAATGGGCAATATAAAGAGGCTTTGAAATTGTATCAAACCATGCACAGATTGTCAATTGATCGTACTAGATCAGCTTTCTCTGTTCTATTTTATGGATGCTCATGTCTTGGATCTCTTCAACAAGGGCAATTACTTCATGCCCACTTGGTTAAAACACCATTTCAGTCTAATGTTTATGTTGGAACATCTCTTACAGATATGTACTCCAAATGTGGGAGCATTAGTGATGCTCATAAATCATTTACTGACATCTCTTCACCAAATGTGGCAGCATGGACCTCTCTTGTTAATGCTTATGCATACCATGGACTTGGCTTGCAAGCTATGTTAATTTTTCAGCACATGCAGAAGCGAGATGTATACCCTAATGCTGCTACTTTTGTTGGTCTTCTGTCTGCTTGTGCACGTGCTGGTCTACTTGTGGAAGGGATGAGACTGTTTCAGTCAATGGAAATGTGTTATGAGGTTACACCAACCTCAGAACACTATGCTTGTGTGGTTGATCTTCTTGGCCGGTCAGGCCATCTGCAAGAAGCTGAGAAGTTTATTAGAAGCATGCCAATTGAAGCTGATGGGGCTGTTTGGGGAGCTTTGCTCAATGCTTGTTGGTTATGGATGGACATGGAAGTGGGTGAGAGGGTGGCAGAGAAGGTGCTCAGTTTAAATCCAAAGCCAACATATGCTTATGTAATTCTTTCTAACATTTTTGCAGTACTTGGGAAATGGGTAGAAAAGATGCATGTGAGGAGAACATTGAATGAATTGGAAGTCAAGAAGGATCCAGGTTGTAGTTGGGTTGAGCTGAACAGTGTACTTCATGCATTTTCAGTAGAAGATAGAAGCCATCCGCATTTTACTGTGATTTATTCCACTTTGCAGCATCTAAATGCAAATTTGAACACTATTGTTCATTGTGATTTTGATTCTATATAAACAAAAAAAGATGGCTGTTTAAGTGCAAGCATATGGTTCAATGATCATTGCTATTAACCAAACTCTTTTTTGATGACTAAGGTGATTACCTAACTTTATCTGCACAGTGCACCTGAGTTCAAGCTTCCTTTTACATATCCTCTTAAATGTTCTCATACAATTCCTGTTTCAGTACTATTATCCTTTTTTCTCTGCATTGCTTGGATTTGATTCATCAGGCATATTGAATAATGACATCTGATTTACATTTTCCTTTGCAGAATCAGTTCCAAGGGCATATGCTTTGTGAAAGAAGCACCTTCGTGCATTAAAAATGTCTGATTGCCTTTCTTATATCTGACAGTGACATATTTATAATGGTGCTTTTGCAAATAGTACCAAAGATCAGACAGATTACTGTAAAGAGGTAAAAGCACCTTTCTCTTTTAAGGTTGTCTTTGAGCCAGTACCTCCTCTGTTGGTGTTCCAATAGATCCTCTAATCTAAAAGCCTGAGGTTAAATATATATTAACTTAATTTGACTGATCAAATCTTTTAAGAACTCTGCATTGCTCCCTTGCCCTTCTCATACCAACATCTCCCCCCTCACCCACCAATCTAATGAAGAAAGAAACTAATTTGTTTTACTAATATAAGATTTATTATTAATCATTTAAGTGAAACTTTTCTTTTATTTTATTGAAAATACGTGGTTGCACGAGGCATGCTGAGAAAATGAGGTGATATTTTGAAATCTTCTTATTGCAATGAGCCAGTGATCACTGTTGCATTTGGGTGTATTGTAGACTTGGTTTTCCATTTTGTTTTATGAAAAGCATCTCAAAATGAAACCACACTGTCCTCCATGCCATCTGAAGTTTGAATTGGGTCTCTGTGTTACATACAAGAGCTTAGGAATTTTTAAGTTTTATACTGTGATGGTTAATCTAGTTTCTACATCCATTTATAGAATTATTTTAGTTAGGTTAGATGTAGTTCAATGAACCTCTCTCTTACTAATGTACGTTGCTGATTCAGATGTCACTTTGCTTTAAATGAGGAAATGGGAGTAGATTGCTTGTATTAGTTTAAAGATCACATCCACAAATTCTATGCTTCATCTTATTTGAGAATTTTTTTACAGCATAAGCTCCTTCTGAGAACCTCACGTGCTTTCACTGTTTTCTTTGGAAGGCAATATTTTGTTCCTCAATGAAACAAGAGCTTCCCCTGTCACATATAGTAAAATATGTTAAAACTCTATGGAAATTGGAAGTCATTAATAAAGATTATGCAGACATATTCTTGAACGCATATCCAGATTATCTGAATGCATGCGAGAATCTCACTCTGTTAGAAAAGTTGCCTAAAAATCAATGTTTTGGGACACTTAAAAAATAATCCAATCATACCCTGCATCACATGTTTTGGCTCTTGCTATTGATATTATCATTCGTGATGAGCTGCACCTGTTTGGGTTGCTCTTGATCATTTTGTTCTAAATCCCATTTGTTTCGTTCTTCCATAAATCCTCTTTTCCTGTATTTGCAGTACAGTACAAGTTGGAGGATGCCTAAGGGGCAGCCAATGAAGTTAGGGGACTGCCAAAATTTACAAATTCAAATTAGAACATTGAAGCTGAAGCTATGTCTTATGCAAAACAAATTTGTTATTCCATAGATGACATTGAAAAAATCATGGGTTTTGTTAACAGCACAAACCGCAAGAAAGAGATCGTGGCTCAGCAGCCCATATGCCAGCCAGAGTGTACTAGCAAGGAATGTGAACAAAGACAAGTGGAAAGGCATGAATTCCACGCTCTTTGTTAGTATAACTTGTTTCTGCAGTTAGAACAAATAATTTCTCAGATGAATGTAAAGGCACAAGACAGAACTAAAATAAATTGTTAGATGTCATGATTTTTCTTTTTGATATTCTGCATTCTCAAATATATAAAGTAATCAATAAATTCTTTTCTTCATTTTTCGCAGGATATGAAACTCATTGCTTGTGATGGAATTCAAAGACGTCAGACAGCTCTTATCTGAAAGGGGGGTTTGCTAGGTTTTACAGAATACTTTAAGGTAGATAGAGAAAAAAGATGGCTTACCACTGCCACAAGTGGAGCAGCATACATTGCCACAGAGGCCACCAGCCCAACACTTCCAACAAATACTTTTCTGTGAGGATGATCATGTAATACAAATGCTGATATAATCGCACTGATGCAAAACACTAGGATTACTGGTGTTGCTGTAACGGCAACCTTTATCTGTACATAATTCAGAACAACGGTTCTTTAAAACTGTTTTCAGCCATGCAATCTGCTATTTGCAGGAATCCCATGATAGAAACATTAATTTCACATTTTCCAGATGCAGAAAAGAACATTTGATAAGACACTCTAACAGAGGCATGTTGTACATGACAAAACTCAGATGATTTGCTTGTTCATGGCCATCTTTTCTATTTCTTGTAAACTTTGATATTTGTCATATTATTGGATGCATACCATGTCATATATCAGACAATATTAAATATTGCAAATGATGAATTTCAATAAGAGTTTAGAATACGGCTTGCCTTTCCTTTTGTTGAAGCAAACCTAAAATATATGAGAATGAAGGAAAACTCGAGTATGATCCCTAAGCCATTGATGGTGATCAAAGGGGAATTTTCCCATCTGTGGCTGACAATTGGCAAGCCATACCAAGTGTAAAGGAGGCAGTTCAGCAGTGCAACTATGTAAGGGACGCAGGAGAACTCCTCTGTGCTTCCTTTTCTTATCACCCTTGTGAAAGTCAATCTGGCAATATATAAAACATAACAATATATGTTAAGGATTTAACTGCATTAAAGTGATAGTTTTCTGTCTCAGATGAACAAAATAATTAACATGGATGTAACTGGCAGTAATAGAATGTGGACATTACACTGGTGTGGCATAAAGCAACAAAGCAGTACCATTACCTGCAAGAGGATACAATAGTTGTTGAAAATGAATCAGGCCAATTATTTTTCTAGTCATATAATTAAATCTAGGAAGTTGGAGAGTGAGCTTAGAAGCTATAGAGAGCTGAGGAAATAAACAAGATGGAAAGTACCCATGAATCCAACCGCCAGGCGCAACCTATCCGCCATAATTTTTTCCTGGAAAGATTGTCTTGAGATGAAGAAAATGGTACAAACAAGGAGAACCCTCTAAAAGGACTAACAAGGAACGTTGTGTGACTGTTTAACACCCTTCAGGGGCTATAAATAATGGGTGACAAAGTAAGAGAATATAAAGAGTAGAAAAATAGGAGTGGTGCTATCTACGTCTGCGTGCTTGTCCTCTTGCCAATATAACTTGTGGATGCAATTAGTTTTGCGACATTATGGAGTTTTATTTGAATTTTTTCTAGCTGATGCATTAAAAGAAAGAAAACCCTTTTTATTTACTGAATACTGAAAATCAATACATCTTAAATTTTAATATTTTTAACACTCTTATTTTTTTTACAATCTCTTAAATTTACGTTAGGTTTTAACAATACAAGGAGAAGATATATAAACATGGACTTTTGCTCTTATGTTCCGGTTCTATTGTGAGTGGATGACATCACCTCATATCTCACTTGATATAAGTTTCTTAGTTAGTTGATCATACATGTGCTAATGATGGATGCATGCTTGCAGTTTTATGTTTTTAAAGAATTGATTCTACTATCACTAAGGACACTAACAAATTTTGGCTGGCGGCACGGACTCACCAGACAATATTCCACGTGGTTTTGCTGGAAGAGCAGAGTGTCCCCAGCCAAAATGGGGTGTTGACAAGCAGGAACAGTGGTGCCACATACCTCCATTTCTTAAAGTTGCATTTCGTGGCTTCTCTCTCTTTTTATTTTTCTTGTTCCTCTTTTTTATCCCATATTTTTTATGCTTTCTATCTTTTTATTAAGAGAATGGTAATAATGAAGGAGAAGTTGATAATATATAGATGAGGAAAAGAAATGTATCCTCAGATTGGTTCATGGATATTGATTTCTCCATTTTTTTATTTAAAAATTATAGGTCAAATGATTCATAATATAAGGGAAGCCATTTTCCAAACTGTCCCATTTGTTTTTCTTTGTTAATAATGTATACATCAGTCATGAGTTTACTCTTAGGAAAAAATTTTCAATGTAATAGGGATACTATGTCATGGGTATTCTCAACTAATAATATTAGAGGGATTTTTTATGTCAAATTATAACTTTCTTGTGCCATATAAAACACTTTTCATACCACACATTTATTTTGAAGTGTTATTAAATTTATTGAAGTGTCAATTCTCCATTAGCTAGGGTACCATGTAGAAACCTCTAATGTGGTATTTCCGTTGCACTAAAGTTTTTCTCCTAGTACAAATATTACTAATTTCTAATATTATTAATTTATCATAATGGAAGGAGGGGAGAGAAGAACGGAACAAGGGGATGTTCTTCCTATGTCAGACTTGCATGGAACATGTACAATATCCCCAACTCAATCAGCAATAACTGAGAAATCAGGAATCTAGCAGTGTTACCAAACATATGCTTAATTAGGAGACTAACCACTTTAATATACTTCAATCAGAATCTACGCGGAGATATCAATGCAAGCACTTAGAAAACACCTCCTTTTCTTTTCTTTTTTGTTTTTTTAACTCGTTGTAGTTGAATTGATGTTCGAGCATTTTTTAGGTTCACTTGTAAACTGCTCAAACAAATGACTGATACACATGGTTACTTTCATACATAAAATATTGAAAAGGTATGTCCCCCCAACCCCACTTCCAATAATTAGATAGACGGAGTAATTTCCTAATGATTCTGATGAGAAATGAAAATGACCTTCAGTTGCATTAATTTCTTAATGATCTTTCAAGTTCTACAAAGAAGATATTTTGATGCTTGATAGTTGTACTAAATGTGACTCAATAGCTAGCTAGTCCAACGTTTTAACCAAAATAGATACTCTGTACCAAATATATATTCAAAATAAGCCAATGAAGCCTTGATATAACGGCAATGCAAAGGTTTTGAAATCTTGTAGTTTCAAGTTTTAGTCTTGTCATGTGTAGATTTAATCCAGTTTTATGTTTGTTTTTTTATATTTTATAATTTAACTTAATGATTAATTTGTAATATGAATCTGTATTATACTCAATGCATATGAGTTGTAACTTGAAATAACATATCAAAAAGACATGAATTATGTTTTGTAAAAAAGTTTAGATTGAATAATCACCTTTGCCTATTGCTTAAGAGGAAAATGATTTCATTATATCCTTAATCTCCTAGAAGGTCCCACTCCAAAAATATATGAAAATATGTGTCCTTTAACAATGAAAAAGTAATCCTAGGAGAACAGCATTTCCTAAGAATTTATCTAGCCTCCTTGACTTGGAGAGATATGGTTTAGGTTTTTGGTTGTTTAGGTTATTTATGATAGTTTATTTAGGGATTCTACCAACATGTTTTTAGGTAGTTATGATAATTTTAGTTTTGTTACGGATTCTATTCTAAATATACATTAAATTTCTTAATTAAGGCTTTCTTTATAAGAGCACTTTGTAGTTAGTAGTTATTTTGCTTTTGATCCAATAAAGTTTTATCTGAGAGAATTTTCTCTATCTTCTATCGAATTCTAGAGTATGTTTTGGGGATAATCTAAGAATTAATCTTTCTTCTTCATTTCTTTAGCAGTGTCGATCCACCCCAGATTTCTTATTGGAATATATAGAAAGCTAAATTATTCCTATTCTCTCATATTACAAATGTTTTTTTAGTTTTTAGAATAACTGTACCCTTCTGCTAGCTGGAATCAAACTATTCTTACAGATATGATATTAGCGGTGTTGCTTTTGAGAGAAGGAAAAATAATAATAAAAAAACCAAGGCCTTACAGTACTTGATGTCGTGGCTCATGACAGATTAAGCATCTTCTTGCTGGGAATTAATCAGATGATAAGGACAGCACAGACAGTAAAGGTTTATGCCAATCAAATTGTGTGTGTATATATATATATATAGAGTTAAAAAATTATTGTGTAATTTAAATTATATTAAATTATATAATTAAAATTGTTAAATAAAAAATGAGACCCTCATATTAAAATTTTTTCTTGATGTAAAGGTTTTTATTTTGTAATTTAATGTTTGGACAACAAAATAAGATTCCCATATATCATGCCTTAAAAATGGAGACTGTTCTTTTTATTTTCTTCCTATTAAACAAATGTATTTCTTTTTTATGGTGATCTGAGCTTCCTTTCTGTTATCTTCCAACTTGATTCTTTTTTATTCAATCATGTCCTCAACCAAATATGTGGGGGTTTCTGATACCTTGCTGTTTCACGGACGAACATGTTCTAGCACTTAAATGTTCTGCAGAATTGGAGACTGATTGATGGTTTTAGTTTTTAATGAATCCAACTTTGTCTATGGTTTTAACAACATTTTGCTGCTTGACCCCTCAATAGGTACTGCAGGAATTAATGCATGTTGTTTATACCTGATCGATGATCTGATGCAAAGGCATTTAGAATTTATTCCCCATAGAGTAGAAACCGGCTGAGGCACCAGAAGGATGATGCCAGGTTCGTAATTCCTTAGATGAAGATGCTTGAACAATTGCAATTTGCAAATGTGCAATGTGCTCTTAAAAGAAGAAAATTGAATTCATAAGGTTTATGTGTTTAGATGATTTGGTCACAATCAATATCCTTAAGACATAGCATCCTCAACATTAATGTTATTCTTCACAACTCCCTTAAACCACAAACCAAAAGTAGTCCTCCACTCCGAAAATTACAAAGACAACGTTCGGAGCTTCTAAATGATTCATTAATATACTGATTTTAAGAGAACAACGTGAGGCTTTGATTTTGTTAAACAACATGAACAAGTGATAGAAGAAAAGGGAACGGATTAGTTCAATCATTTAGGATTTAAATCCTTTCTTTTTGGCACATAAGATGTAGGTTATTCAGCATCACTGTCCTAAGATTTAAAGTCTCAAGTTCGAACTATTTGGAATGTCTCCTAAGGGACATGTTTAAATCTCTTACTGAATTGAAATGAACATCTAGTGGTAAAAGGAAGGCTATAAATTTAATTATATGGTTGGTCTGTTTCGAGAATTTCACTAGATGTTTATACTTTCAAAACCAATATAAGATGTTCTGTGATAATCTTGATGGAATTTATGGAAACTGGTTGAAGTTTTCTTCCTTCTCAATCTCCTCTCAATCTCTTTTCAAGTCTCTAGGACGACTGAAAAAGAAAAAGTTGTGGTCTCGTCTGAAAGGACTGCCCTGATCAGAATCTGGTCTCGCATGCTGGATTGAGCAGACCAGAACCATGCTTTACACAACAGGATACTTATCTATACCCTTGTCAGGTAAAAGAACAACCATGATAGATTCAATGTAAGTAGTAACTTCCCTGCTGTTGGAGACTCTTAGGTCCTGGTCAAACAATAAATCCAAGGTGAAATTAAGAACTTCATCAGGAAGATCCAATTACCTTACGTTTATGGTTTAATCAAGGAATTATCATTCCTTCCTAACAAACTTAACCTTGAAGTTTAGATGAAACGATTGCTGAATTGGTATACGAAACCATTCAACCTGAGCAGTCTGATATTCAAAGCTTGAGGGTCCCTTTTCGATTCATTAAAAGTTGAGGTTTACAAAACTTTAGACTGTTGGTTTCTTGGCCATCTTGGTCAAATGATACACTCATGTTTTCTCCATACTCATAGGCTTGTACCATTTGCTCTTAATGCCTTAATACTTTTCGAAAATTTCTCACAACTTTTCTGGAACTTTCTCTTCTAATGAGTGACTAAAAATAAAGAACATAATTAATTCCTCTTGGAAGTAATTATCCTAGCGATCATGGATTAGCTCTAATTGTTAAGACTGCAAATATCAATCCAACGCAGCACAAACTTGGAAAGCATTGTGAACAAGAAGCTTTGCATAATGCATGGATAGAATAATATTCTTTAATTTCATTAGATAGAAAGTGTATTGTGCGATGTTTGAGAAGCATCATTATATGTAGACAATGCTTTGCTTCCTTCAATTAGGTGTGGGGATACAATATCTCCCAAAATAAAGATCCTATGAATCTTGCAATATTGAGTGGAAATGCTACGGCAAAATCCGAAGATGTTTCTCTTTACTTAAAAATAAACATGATAATGTATTATGTAGGTTGAATTACTTTCTTCTTTTTGTAGTCTATTGAGGATTAATTAGCACTTAATTAAGGGAAAAATAAGACAAAGCTTGGTTTGCTTCCTTGTCTAGCTAGTGTAACATTATGTCAGTACTGATCACCTGAACATTATTGATATTGAACAAACAGAGATTAATTTATCGATACACACCAAGAAGCATATATGCATATGCTTCTTAGGGAATGGCAGGTTTAACACAAGCATCTTTGCTTAAAATGCTGGAAATGATTCGATTATTAGAGAATTAAGACACCAGAAATTTTAGTATATATATTCTTCTGTATTGTTGTTCTTGTTGTAACCAGAGACGAAAAAGAAGAAAATATGCACACAAAATTTGCATGATGCGCTCCATGGACTTAAATCTATTGATAGTCATGCATAAAATTGGGTACAAGATGTCAAGTTTTTAAATTTTCAACTTAATCCTGGGGATTTAGAAGAATCTAACTGAATTAATTACCCCGTTAACTAGCTTAGGTCTGCATAGCATGAATAACAAATGTCTATAGAAAATCCATTGAGATGTACAAACAATTATATATGAAAGTTATTTTGATGTATTTGAGTGTGAACTATACAATAAGAAACTTGAAGAGACAATTATCATGATCAATTTCTACATATTGAAATTGATATCAACCATATTTTCTTCTTTATATTCTAAGTTTTAATATTGAAAGTTGAATCAACTGTTGTCCATAAGAAGCCAGCAAGATAATGACGAACTTCTAGCTACTACTTCATAATTTGTTAGATTTCTTGTTTCATATGCCTAGAATGCATTTGCTCTATTACTTGCATGTGTAGCACCTACCCCTCTACCAGAAAGTTAGATGTTGCATTCAAGGGAATGATTGTAACATAGTGAGTCATAAAATTAACAAATCAAAGTGACTGCTGCTTGTATAATATTTATTCCTTCTATGAGTTTATTCCATGTGAAAGTGTTGTGTCATCTTTGTCATTATGGAAAGTGATTGGCTTTTTGGTCAGATTAATCAAAATATTCTAATATTCTACCATTGTTTGATAGGCACTACTGATTTTAGGAGTTCGTACTCTTTTGCCTCTTCTTTTAGTTGCTTTGCCCTGTCAGTCATCTTTGTAGAAGTGTCATTCAAGTAAAAATTTTTAAAAACCAAAATAATATAATT